TTAATTTTTTTAAGTGATTTCTAAAGTTAGTATTTATACTGGATACCAACCAGGCTGCTGCCTGGTCTCCTGTAACTGCAGCCTGTTCCTCACACCTTTCACCCTACTGTCAGTGGACTCACCGCCCGCACAGTCTGACCCTTACTGACCCCTGTAGGCCAGAGCCATCTGCACTGATAAGGGGCCACTAACCTCAAAAGGACCTGCCCTAGAAATTTAAAATGGTACTTGAAAGAAAGTAAATCTCTTGAAGCATGGAATATTTCCGTTTGGGAGTTATAAGGTCAGTGTCTTCCACCTACCCTGAGTAACAGAAGTAAAAGAAGCCAGCCTACAGGGTGAAAACAGCTGCACTACTGTGGTGAGGGCAGAAACGGCAGGTGATTTCCAGAAGCAGGACCTGCAGGCGTGGTTAAGGTCCTGCTTTGGGGTTTAGGAGACACAGTTTCCTTAAGAGAAACTCTTTGGGGCCAGCAGGTGGTGTGGTGGTTAAGGGCACTGGCCAAGCGCAATTCAAGTCCCAGACCTGGCAGCTTGCTTTATCATTCTATTTCTCAGTCCCTCTCTGGATGAATTAAAATAAATAAGTAAATAAACAAAATTAAGCTACATTGATTTAGTTTGTTGCAGCAACTACTATCAACCAATAATACTATCTGCAATATTTGGTGGCTTGTTCATGAAGTCAGCCAGAGTCAGAACTTCAGGACACTAAGACCAGCCACTGGCCTTCAACCCCTCCCGGGCCATCCCAAGGCAATGCTTTCAAGCGGGACATCACGGAGCATGACACAGGTCTCTGCTCCCAACTCTGGCCCTGCGATCACAGCCAAACCACAATAAATCGTTACGTGTCATTCTTTGGAGTTAATTTATTCTTTTAAGAAGAAACATCTGCAAAACATAAAACAAAACAATGTCACTCTAAGCATACCTAATTTTCCTTTTAGAATGAGGACACTAGAAGAATTGTCAAGAAAAATGCCTTTTGAGAGAGATTTTTGCTATAGGGCACATGTGCTTGACAGAAAGAGACAGAAAGCGAGAACTCGCCCCTAGGGGGATGGCCATGATGCAATTGGGATTTGGGCACACATGCACACGCACCTGGTGTGAATTTTAAGCCACTGGGTCCAAGACTCGAACCATGGTTGACTACGTGGGAGTCCAGCAATGTAACCATTATGCCACCGGCTGGCCCCGAAAGACGTCTTTTTCTCCCATATAACAATCTTTCCAGAATCTGGATGAAGAGGATTGCTAGAAAAGAATGACCAACCCCTGCAAGTACCCTAACAAATGACCTTCTGCTCCCTTAGAGTGAGCACCCTTAGCTGAGTACTTAAAACCTCCTCAGTACTTAACACAAACCTGCTTTAATCATCCCAACAGCTACTCTGAGACAGGAATTGCTATTCCTACCTGGCAGATGCAAAAACTGAGATGCAAAGAGGTTAACTGGCTTGCTCAAAGACACACAATTACTAAAATGCAAACCTCAAGTCCCAGATCCACACTACCCTCTGTAAACTATGCTGTGAAGCTTTGCATAGCTCCATTTCTTTTTTTTCCAAAGAATTATTTTATTTAACTTTATTTATTTATTTATTTTTATTTTGACCAGAGAAGTAAAAGAGAGAAAGAGAGAGGGAGGGATGGAGGGAAGGAAAGCAAGAAAGCAAGCTACCGACCGGATCCAGGACTCAAGCCGAGGTCTGCCATGTGGGAGTCCAGCACCCTTAACCACCACACCACCTGCCGCCCCTGCCCCTCCCTGCACAGCTCCGTTTCTTGAACCTTTTTCACAATAGAAGAGAGAGAGGATAAACAGGATAATTGTAAAATAAAATGAAAAGTTCAAAGTCCAATGACAGAGAAATAGCAACTAAAAAAAATAATAAATTATTTTTAAAAAATGCTTAAAAACCACCAGATTATAGGACCAGCAGTTGGCATAATGACTATGTCTCTGGACTCCCACGTTGTTGACTGTGGTTCAAGTCCTGGACCCAGTGGCTTAAACTCATGCCGGGCATGTGTGTGTGCGTGCCCAAGATCCCAAGAGGAGAACGGAGTGTGGCCATCCACTCAGGGGGTGATTTCTTGCTTTCTGTCTCTCTGTCTCTCTCTGTCTTTCTGGTGAGTGCACATGCCTTATAGCAAAAAAGAAAAAGAAAAAAAAAAAACTCTCCCCCCCAAAAAAATAACAATAAAACAACCCCACCAGATTAGTCAGGGGTCAGACAGGAAGATTCAAACAGGAAGGCCCAGGCTTACAGATATGCAAGGCTATGACCTGGACTGGCTAAAACTGAGGGATCACAACATGAGGAACCTGGTGGGGTGCCTGTGTCTGTCTCCCTTGCTCTCGTCTTCTCATGGAAAAACTAAACATAAAAGAGTATAGGACCGGCCCCATGGCCTAGTAGTTAAGGGAGCTGATCCAACATGGCCAAATGCATGATTCAAACCCTAGCCCCAATGGCTTAAAAAGCATGCCAGCTGGGGACCAGCAAGTGGCGTGCACTTGCTGGTTAGGGCACTGGACTCCAACATAGCTGACACAGTTCAAGTTCTGGACACGGCAGCCTTCTCACTTTCCCTCTCTCCCTCTGGTCAAATTTTTAAATAATAATAATAAATAAAATTAAACAAAATAATTCTAAAATAAAGAAAAGAAAGAAAGAAAAACATGCCAGGCATGTGTGCATGTATGCCCCAAGTCCTGACAGTCTGGAGAAAGGGAGAAGGACCATGGCATGGCCACACCCATTGAGGGGTGCTTTCTTCCTCTCCCTCTCTCTCTCTGGTGGGTGCACACGCGCTGCCTCTGGCTAACAAAACAAAGCAAAACAAAAACCATTTTTTAAAAAGTTCAAGGTTGGCGCTGTGGTGTAACAGTTAAAGGAGACGGGTTCTTCATGGCCAATCGCAGCTCAAGTTCCAGACACAATGGCTTGAAAAGCATGTCAGGCATGTGTACCCTAACCCTAACAGGAAGCCAGGATGGAGCAGTCAGGACTGCAGTGTGACCACATTCCATTTGGGAGTATTCTCTCTCTCTCTCTCCGTTTGGCTCACTCTGGCATGTTCATATGCCCTCTGGAAATTAAAAAAAAAAAAAAAACAGTCCCTCGTGTGGATGAAACATCCTCTGTATAAGTGTAGTCACTGCAGTACTGTTCATGGGAGTTCAGCGACATAGCCATAGCGCTAAGTACTGGTAATTACAGTAAAATACTGGAAACAACCTAAATGTCCACCAGTAGGGCACGAGATAAAATGAATTACGATTCATCCATACATGGCACACTCAAAAACATTAAAGGGACCAGCAGTTGGTGCAATGGACTCTAGTATGTCACTGGACTCGCATGTAGTCAACAGAGGTTCGAATACTGGACCTGGTGGCTTAAACTCACGCCAGTGCGTGTGCGTGCGTGCCAAAGATCCCGAGAGGAAAATGGAGGAGAAGGGATTGTGGCGTGGCCATCTCCCTGGGGGGTGAGTTCTCGCTTTCTGTCTTTCTCTCTCCATCTTTCTGGCAAGTGCACACGCCCTATAGCAAAAACCTCTCAAAAAAATTAATAAATTCATCATGTATGAATGTAGAATGATCTTATTCATCTATTAAATGAAAAAGGCAAAGTGAAGAATAATGTGTATAGCATCCTATCATTTGTATAAAAGCTGGAGTAAAGGGAGGCCAGCAGGTGGTATGGTAGTTAAGGTGCTGAACTCTCACATGGTTGATTGCAATTCAAGTCCTGGACCTGGCAGCAAAAATAGTAATTACAATAAATAAAACTGAACAAAATATTTTTTAAAGATTTGTTTATTTAATTCCATTTGTTATTATTATTATTATTTAATTTGACCAGAGAGAGAGAAAGGAAAAGTGAGAAGGCAAGCTGCCAGGTCCAGGACTCAAACCACAGTCAACCATGTAGGAATTCAGTGTCTTTAATCACTATACCAGCTGCCAGCCCCTGAATGAAATAATTCTTAACAACAACAACAATCACCCCCAGGGGTTGATTTCTCACTTTCTATCCTCACTTTCCCTCTGTCTCTGTGTCTCTCTTGAGCACTCACACCTACAGCAAAAATTCCTCTTAAAAAAGAAAAGAAAGGAAAGAAAAAGGAAGAAGTGAGAAATTACCCCCCAGGAGGATGGCCATGCTGCAATCCCTTCTCTTCCAGTCTCCTCTTGGGATTTTGGGTACTCATGCATACACATCCTGTGTGATTTTCCAATCTGCAGTGTCTGGAACTCAAACTGCAGTTGGCCATGTGGGAGTCCAATTTTAGTATATGAGCTGTCAAAGCGAGCACCGCGTGGAAGTCCAGTGTCTTAATCACCATACCACCTGCTGGCCCCCAAAACTCTACTTTTACATGCACAGGAATAATGATGATTACCAGGACCAGCGGCTGGCGTAATGGCTACGTTGCTGGACTCCCAAGTAGTCAATGGTGGTTGGAGTCCATTTCTCGCTTTCTGTCTCTCTGTCTCTCTCTGCCTTTCTGGTGAGTGCATGTGCCCTATAGGAAAAACCTCTCAAAAAATAAATAAATAAAACAATAATAATGATGCTGATTACCTCTTAGTGCTGGGATCACAGAGTAGGAAGAAGACCACAAAAATAAAAAATAGCTTAAATAATCCTTTCCCCTTTTTTTCTTGGGAGGGGGGGTGTTGCCATAGGGCACATGTGCTTGTTAAAGAGAGACAGTGAGAAAGAAAGAAATCACCCCCCAGGGAAATGTCCACACCGCAATCCTCCCCCTCCAATTCTCCTCTTGGGATTTTGGGCACACGGGCGGGCACACACACACACACACACACACACACACACGCCCAGAATGATTTTCAAGCCACAGGGTCCTGGACTTGAGCCATATGGGAGTCCAGCACCTTAACCACTATGACACTTGCTGGCCCCTAAAACGTAATCTGTTAATTAATCACCCTTAATTATAACGTCACTGCCACTTACCTGACCATTACTGGTTGTTGGTTCTTCCTCCAACAAAAGTTTCTCTTTCAAGCTTTCAACTGGGCTTTCTTGGAAATCCTTGGCTTTTGAGTACCAGAGAGATGCCCTAGACTCCCGCCTCTCCTCTTTGTCTTCATCTCCCATATCTTCTGAGTTGCCTTCATTTTTTTCACTAGCCTGATCTCCTTGGCCACATTCATTCTGGATCAGAGAAGGAGGTCTAGGTAACACTGGTTCCCCAAACCCCTTTTTCTTTAAGAGCTGCCTCTGAGCCATTTTCAGGCATTTCTGATAAACCTCCAACTGGCAGAGAATGACCTTGGTGTACTGGTTGGGGTCCACTGCAGGAGGGCAGAATGGAATACCCCAGAAGTAGTGCACAGTGCCCTCAATGTCCTGGAGACCTCTGGCATCTGCTGGGGTCAGCAGACAGCGCCCCGAAGTGTTCCCCCTACCCTGGGCAGCTTCGAGGAAAGCACAACCCCTCCCAGTACTTTCCTGTGGCTTCCCACACTGTGTGTGCTCAGCCAAGTGGCCTGTACATCTGTCAAAGCATTTAACGTTCTCTTTCTCAAACACTGGCTGGCTTGACTGGTCCCAGCTTCCTGAGCTGCCGGAGACCGGCTCCTCTTCAGTGTTTTCAGGGTGGTCCCAAGGCTCCTCTCTGTCCTCAGCCTCGTTTCCCTGACTGACATGTGAGCCTTTACACAGTGATGGAGGTACCAGCTGCCATATGCCTGTAGGTATTTGAGAAAAAGTATGGCTAAGGACAAGCTTTTTTATTAAGAGGGCTTGGTAAGCTATCACTTACCAAGAATTATACTATGTAAGTAAGAAAGGCTCTTCTTAGTTTTAATCAAATGTTGGTTTTTCCTTGGAGGTAAAAGTATGCTGGATGATATCAGTGAGATCTCAACTACTCTCTGATTTAATCTCTTTTTTAATTTAATGACCAAAGAGATTTGGGGCGTTCCTGTTTATCTGCTCTCAGCATGAGATCCCTGTGGTAAGGTTACACTTGATGAGAAGGAGGAGTCAGAACAGGGAGACATGCCTTCAGTGGTCCCAGAGTCCGTGGCTTTCTCTTGGTGAGATTGTGAAGACGGTCCAGTGGCCAGAGGTCGAGATCGGGTGGCAGAAGCGTCAGAACGCCGGCAGCTCTGAAACAAGTGACCCCACACCGGAACAAATTTACTATTAAAACAGCTGCACCTGATGAGTCACAGGAAGGACTAAAAGGGGGGCCGGGCCGCTGCCCCTAAGAGTTATGCTCAGTCCAAATGACTCCACACGGTGCACTCCATGCCGTGTGCCAAGTGTCACACAGTGGCCAATGACACTGGTGACTCAGCACCTGCCCCTGGCAAGTGCCCTTCCCATTTCAAGTCAATTCAATTCCCGTATCCTAATCACGATTTCCCATCACTCAATTATTTTTTAAATTGTTCATTCTTTCTCTATAACCTAACCCACTACTAGTTCTCACTCCCTTTGCTTTTCCCACATGGCAGGGGACATAAGCGCCTTATTTTGCTCCCTTTTGTGTTCTTGGACTTGGTAACTCTCTTTAGAAACAGCCAACTTACTAGGGTTCTTTAAAACTATGGACTGAAAAATCTGTAGGAGGGAAGTAAACTCCTGTATAAGGTGAGCAAAAACTCTCCAAATTAGGGTAAGCAACAACTCAACACAAACTTTACAAACTATCACAGGGGGCCAGACAGTGACTCACTGGTAAAATGTGACACTGCAAGGCAATCCCACATGGCAAGGTTCCCAGTTCAAATCCAGGAACCTTCCTGTGTAAGCGGGGCACACATGTGCCCACGATCCAGCTGAAACTGAAGGTGGGCCATGGAACTGAGAACTGTTCGAGGTGCTATCTCTCTCTATTGCTCAGTCACGGAAAAAATAGACTTCTTAAAAAAACATTATGGGGAGGGCCAGCAGGTGGCTTAGTGGTTAAGGGCACTGAACTCCCACAAGGCCGACAGCAGTCTGAGTCCCAGACCTAGCAGCTTGCTTTCTCACTACCCCCCACCCCACTCTGTCCCTCTCTGGTCACATTAAAATAAATAAATAAAGGTAAATAAAATAATTATAAAAAACTGCTATGGGAGATACCTGTCAGTTGAAAACTCGATGAATTACTAACACAGCTAATAAACATAAACTGCCTAATGTAACTATAATAGTGCGGAAGTCAGAGGACAGCAGGGACCGATTCCCACAAGATTTTCAGCTCAGCATATTTACACTCAGGCTTTCGGCAATGGCTTTCCTCAAGAGCTCCTCTTCTTCTTCCTCCTGGCTGTTCACCTCCCTAGCTTCTTGCTCACTCATCCTGAGAGCCAGAGCAAACTGTTCTTCTTCTGTCATCTCTGTAAGAGGATAGTAACAAGGGAGGAAGAGAAACCACAGACACTGGATAAGCGTAAAACAAGAAAGAGAGCTATTAAACTTTTCAACCGGAGACACTGTAAGATCACTTAGTACATTTCACAACCTCATACATGAAGAAAGGCCCACAAAGTAAGGTGCTGCCAAGATCATTAGCAGCAGTTACAAGAACCCCTGCTTAACTAGACTGTAAGCTCCCACGAAGGCACAGCTTTTGCCTGTTTTGTTGGTTATATCTCTAGCACATAAAAGAATGCCTGGTTGGGGCCAGCAAGTGGCATGGGGGTTGAGGTGCTGGACTCCCACATGGCCGACTGCGGTTCAAGTCCCAGACCTGGCAGCTTGCTTTCTCTCTCTCTCTCTCTCTCTCTGTCTCTGTCTCTGTCTCTGTCTCTCTCTGGTGAGTACATGTGTGTCCTATAGTGAATTTAATAACAATAATAAATAAAATTAAATAAACTTTTTTTAAAAAAAGGAAGGCCTTGTACATAGCAGATACTCATAAACATGTGATGAATGAGTAAACAGAGGAATGAAGTCCCTCCTATAGCTTTTGTGCTAAATACCACGCTGCTTTACACTCTGTACTTAACCATAACTCTACTCTAGAACCTTCTGATTTACCCAGGAAAGCACAGCCCTGAAACCAAAATATGACCTCCAAACACCATTTTCCATTAAAAGCAACTGGGGTACATTAATGACCGATTGCAAGTCTGAAGCAGGAAATGTGTAAGATGAGCCAAAATAGTTATCACAGCTGTGAGCAAGGGATCTATCAGCTACTACTAGGGTTATAGCAAGGAGCTCAGAAGTTGCCTAAAAAAGTTCTTACTAATCAAAAATGGAACTAGAGTATCAATGAGAATAATGCACACAATGGACTAAAACACATAAAATGTACTTCAGTCTGTAAGCTCACACTGGATAGTGTTTTGTTTTGTTTGAAGATTATTTATTCATTTATTTTCATTTGACCAGAGAGACAGAGAGGGAAAGCAAGAAAGCAAGCCGCTAGGTTCAGTTCAAACCCCGACTGGCATGGGAGTCCTACGCCTCAACCACCACGCCACCTGCCGGCCCCATACTGGATACTTGACTGGAGGCCAGCAGGTGGCATGGGGGTTGAGGAGCTGGACTCCCACATGGCCAACAGGGTTTGAGTACTGGACCTGGTGTATTGCTTTCTCACTTTCCCTCTCTCTCTCTTTCATATTTTTAAATAATAATAATAATAGGGACCAGCAGACAACATAATGGTTATTTCAATAGACTCCCACATAATCGACCATGGTTCAAGTCCCAGACCTGGTAGCTTAAAATTCATGCAGGGGTTGGGGGACAGCAGCAGATGGTACAGTGGTTAAGGCAGCTGGTCTCCCACATGGCTGGCTGCTGTTCAAGTCCCAGACCTGGCAGCTTGCTTTCTCACTTTCCTTCTCTCTGGTCAACTTCAAAAATAAATTAATTAATTAAATAATGACAATGAATAAAAAATAAAACAAAAAATATATATTTTTTTAATTCACACCAGGAACATGTGTACAGTGTGTGTGCCTAAAAATCCCGAGAGGAAAATGGAGAAGGGATTGTGACATGGCCATCCCCCTGGAGGGTATCTCTGTTTATGTCTTTCTGGCAAGCACACATAACCTACAGCAAAAATCTCTCTCAAAAAAAAATGTTGAGGGGTCCAACAAGTGACATGGTGGTTAAGGTACTGAACACTTCCACCTGGCCAACCACAGTTTGAGTCCTCGATCTGGTGGATTGCTTTTTCACTTTCCTTCTCTTTCTTTCTCTCTCTCTCCTTGTCTCTTTCTTGTCAAATTGAAATTAATGAATAAATAAATAAATTCCTTTTTATACAAAAAGTTTTAAAAAAAAGAATAAAATTAAAACAATTATTTTTTAAAGAATTATTTTATTCAACTATATTTATTTTAATTTGACTAGAGAGAGACAGAATGAGCAAGAGAGTGAGAAAGCAAGCCACCAGGTCCAGGACTCAAACTACTGTAGGCCATGTGGGAGTCCAGTGCCCTTAACCACCATGCCACCTGCTGGCCCCAAAACAAAATAATTCTTAAGTGGACAAAATTTTTAAAAAAGGCATGACTGGTCACTTTAGAAGAATACAAGTGAATCATTTATTCTGAAATGGTAATGAAAGAACGCATTCAAGCTTCTCCCGTAGTTTTCCTCTCTGAGCTATATTACTACTGATAACCAAGTAGAGGGTAAATTTCCTTTTATCCATTTATCTATCTATATTTGCTGTAGGGCATGTGCACTCCCTGGAGAGAGAGAGTCAGAGAGAGAGGGAAGTGAGAAAGCACCCCAGGAGAGGATGGCTACGCTACAGTCCCTTCTCATCCATTCTCCTCTCAAGATTTGGGGCATACACGTACAAGTACACACACACTGGCAAGCTTTCAAGCTGCTGGGTCCTGGACTCAAACTGTGCAGTCAGCCGCATGGGATCCAACTGCCTTAACCACCATGCCTCTGGCTGGCCCCAAGAAATTTCTCTTTATAGAATTATTCTAGCTAATAATATAAAAAAAATGATAGAATAATATCATTTCATATGAAGCCTATGGAGGGGAGTCTGGCAACATCTAACAAAATAGAAATGAATTTACCCTTTGACCTCACAATCCCACTTCTAGCAATTTGTCCAGAAGACATGCACCTAAGGAAACAGAAGTACACAACATTGCATGCTTTCACTGTAGCCATGCTTGAACTTGCCAACGCTGAAATCTACTTAGTAACTATAAACTACAGTGCACGTAAGCATAGCTACAAAAGAGGATAAAGAATATGTTTATGGAGAACAGAGTGATTATTCCCAGGATATATTATTAGTAAATAATAAGAGAAATATTAAGTGAAAAGAGCAAAATATAAAAGAGCCCGTGTAGTGCGCTGCCCTCTGTGTAAGAATGGAGAAATGAGAAAACACACACCCCTGTGTATGTGTGCCGTCACACGAGAGAGAAACTGGACGCTAACGCTGGTTACTGCGAGCGCCGGAGACGAGAATGGCGAGCAAGGAAAGGACCCTTGTTGGACTCCACGCCTTTCTGCACAGCTCTGATTGTGGAATCATGGAACTGCTACACGTGTTCTAACGTGAAGTGAACAAGAATGAGGGATCCCATGAATAGAATGCAAACATTACAAATGTACCAAACTGAATTTTAAATAACCTTAATGGAAATAAAAATATATCAAAATTTGTTGAGATACAACTAACATTTACAGGGAAAACTATACCTTCACATGATCAAATAGAAAAGAAAAAACAAAGAGGGCCAGCCTGTGACATAGTGGTTAAGGCAGCTGGATCTCACATGGCCGGCTACATGGTTCAAGTCCGGGACCCAGCAGCTTGAGAAACAATACAGGATGCAGGTGTACACATGCCAAAAATCCCAAAACGCAAGAGAAGTGTGGGAAGAGAGAATGCAGCATGACCATTCCCCAAGGGAGCTGCTTTCTCATTGTCATTCTCTCTCACCAGTGAATACGTAAGTCCTTTGGAAAATAAAAATTTAAAGAGATTTTTGCTACAGGGAGCGTGCACTTGCCAGAGCAACAGAGAGACAGAAAGCAAGAAATCACCCCCAGGGGGGATGGCCATGCCACAATCCCTTCTCCTCCAGTCTCCTCTTGGGATTTTCGGCATGCATGCACACAAGCCCCACATGAGTTTAAAGAGGTAGGGTCCAGGGCTCGAACTGTAGAAGACCATTTGTGGGAGTCCAGCGATATAACTATTATGGCATCTGCTGGTCCCAGGAAAATTGTTTTAAAAAAGAAAAATGCTTAAAATGAATGAGCCAAGCTTTCCATTTGAAGAATCTAGAATATGAAGAATCAAATCAACCCAAAGTCAGTAGAAAGAAATATAAATAAATCAATTAAATAAAGATGAGTATATGGTAGGGGAAAAACTGGTTCTCTGAAAAGGGGGATAAAAATGCATAAACATCTAACTAGACTGCAAAGACTAATAAGAAGAAAAAACACCAACTGGCAGTGTCAGGGTGAAAGAACAGCACTGCAGCCTGCAGGGGTGATGAGGTCACAGCGAGCAGCCAGTACAGTACACTGGGCACCTCGGACCCGGACCCGCCTTCCCAACTGGGTCGTGACATTCCTAAGGGGAAAAACGCTGGTCCTTGAGTGTTGAAAAGAATCATACTTTATATATAAAACAAAGATATAGGGGACCAGCAGGTGGTTAAGGTGCTGGACACTCCCACATGGCTGACCAAAGTTTGAGTCCCGGACCTGGTGGCTTCCTTTTCTCACCTTCCCTCTCTCTCTTTCCTCCTCTGTCTCTCTCTCTCTGGTCAAATTAAAATAAATGAGTGAATAAATAAAATTAAATAAATAATTATAAAAAAGAAAAATATATATAAATCTGCATATAAATAGCATAACGTGGTATTAAAATTCTATGGCGAGGGGACCAGCAGTTAGCGTAATGACTATGTCGCTGGACTCCCACGTAGTCGACCACAGTTCGCATCCCGGACCCGGAGGCTTAAAACTCACACCAGGTGCATGTGCGTGCGTGCCCAAGATCCCAAGAGGAGAATGGAGGAGAAGGGACTGCAGTGTGACCAACCCCCCTGGGGGGTGATTTCTCACTTTCTGTCTCTCCGTCTCTCTCTGTCTGGCGAGCGCACGCGCCCTATAGCAAAAACCTCTCCCCCCAAAAAATTAAATTAAATAAATAAAGTTAAATAATTCTTTTTTAAAAAAAAGAAAAAACTACCCATAAAGAAAGGCCCAGGATCAGACGACTACTGGTGAACTGTGCCAAGAGTTAAAGAAACATAACACTGGCCCGCCTCAGCAGCACAGGCGGCCCTGTACTGAGCTACAATGCTGTGGGCCACATGGCCAGCTGCAGGGTAGGTCCTGGGGAGACCTGAACAGGCACAGGATGCACACACACCCAAGACCCTGACACACTGGAAGGGGATCACAGTGCCATAAGACCTTTGTTGAGGAGGTATGTGTATACATGCACCCCTTCTCATGAATAAACTTTTTTTAACAGAGAAAAATGAATATCAATTCTCCACAAACTCTCCAAAAACACAGACAGGAACACTGCCTAATTCACTCTATCTGGCCAGTATAAGCCTGATAACAAATGCAGACAAAAATACAAGAAAACTACAGACCAATATCTAAGGACACAGGTGACAAAATCGCAATTCAGTACCAGCAAACCAAAACCAGCATGCTGAAAGCATGACACTGTGACAGAGTGAGATGTATTCCAGGAACACAAAGTTAATTTGACATGTGAAGATCAATTCATGTAATACACTAAATGAACAGAATAACAGACAAAACCCATGGGGCCGGCAGGTGGCATGCTGGTTAAAGGCACTGGATCCTCTCATGGCTGACTGCAGTTTGAGTCCCAGACCTGGTGGCTTGCTTTCTTGTTTTCCCTTTCTCTCTCTCTCTCTGTCTCTATCTGGTCAAATTAAAAGTAATAATAATAACAAATGGAATTAAATAATAAGTCTAAAAAAAAATTATAGAAAGTAGAACAGGAGTCACCTAAGCCTGGAAGGGATGAGGAGTCTGGGTGACTAGTAAGGCTACAAGGTTTCCTTCTGGGATAATGAAAATGACCTAGAATTTAGACTGTAGTGATGACCACACAACACTGTTAACATACTAAAAGTTGCTGTACACTTCAAGTGGTTGAACTGTATCATGTGAGTTATATTTCTTTTTTTCTTTTTTTTTTTTTTTTTTGGGCGGTTTTTGCTATTGGGCG